AGCATCTGCAGTTGCTGTGTGTTCTCTTCCTGGATGGAAAGAATAGTAAAGAAGCCAGAGGCTGACAAACAATGCAGGCAAGAAAGCCAGTCAGTGAAAATGTAAATGGAAGCATCAGGGGGTAAGAGACAGGCTGTGGGGGGCAGAGGAAGGGGGATGTAGCAGGTAAAAGTGGAGAGGTACCTGCTACCTGGGGAATCAGATGTCAGGCAGATTTTAGTGTGTCACAAATCCAATGTCTATATTGAGTTTCTGTATCTAGGAGCTTGATGAAGCAAAGTTCATAGGCCCATCTGTGAAAAGTGATTTGTAAATTCCCTTTAAGGTTCAGGACTGAGAGACTGGAGACAGAATAGTTTTTTTTGTGAGAAATGTGCCCCCACAGGTAGTTGGATATTGCCTGTAATAGATTCTGGTGTGTAGTTTGTGGGGGTACTGGAGATATGTTGGCAAATTTTGCATTTCTTGTCATGGCAGGGTCTAGATCCATTAGGTGTGTTTTGGGCTGTAGGAAGTTGGCTTCTGGTGATGTGGTTAGTGAGATGTGATGCTTGTTTGAATTTATGAAGTGGGGGGACTGTGAGGGCAGGTGTATGTGCATGGCATCTGTAGGACTTGAGGGACAGCAGGGGAGTATGCAACGCTAGCCGGAGCCATATGCCACCAAGTGACAATACTTGTTCTGAGCATGAGACCCTGCCTGCTGCTGCTGCTGTCTATGGGGCTGAGTGCCAAGGGAGAGGAGTGTGTGTGGGGGGGACCCCACACTTCCCCACCCTCCCTCATACCAGCACCCTGCCCACCCAAGCTTCACGCTGCTTCCAACCTGGGCCCCATACTCACTGCCTCTGCCCAGCTGCATCGCCCACTTTCCTACCTGCTGCCTGGAGTGAGTGGGATGCCAGAGAAGCTGAGCAGGTCTCCTGGTGGCTGTAGCAGTAACAGTAGCAGCAGCCCTGTCCGGAAGCTACGTGCTGGCCGGGCCGGGCTCAGCCAGGTCCTTCCCCCCATAAAGGTGGGACTGAGGCACAACAGGGTATATTTGGAGGGGGCGTGTATACGTGGGCACCTCACTCCCACCCTTGTGAGTGGAAGGGCTGGGTGGGGTACAATTCATTCATGAGCACCTTATTTTGCCCACCCCTAGATTACAAGCTAAAGAGGCAAAACAGACAAAGATCAGAGTTTCATAGTTTCGTAGTTAGTAGGGTCGGAAGGGACCTGAGTACCTCATCAAG